CCCCTTGAACATTGGAAGGTGTATAGATTGAGAACAGAATCAGAATGGCTTTGGAGACCTGCTTCCAAGTTAGCACCATTTCTGCAACAACCAGAGCTTCTGTTTTATATCCCCACTCCTCAGTTTCCTCCAAGGAGAAACTCAATTTGCCGACATGTAAGGGATTGAAGGTATCTACTCTCTCGCATGCAGCATCATCTTCTTTCTCTTCTTTATCTCGTTCTGTTGATCACAGATACCGTGGATACAGAATTGTCTGCAAAGCCGGAGAGGTCATTAATGAGGGTATGTTAATTTATTAGATCCCCTTCAAGGCTTATCTTCTTTCCAATACAAGATCTATTCTTCTCATCCTTGTTTTCGCTACTTGGTAATCTACATTAAACTAGGGATCAGTTTTCTTTTGTTTCAAGATCAAGGGTCCAAATTAGAAATAATTAGTATTGAAGAACAAAGAAGTGAAGGCCTACTTAAGTTTTGTTCAGTGCCTGTAGGTAAAAGGGGGAATCTCATGAACCTAATTTTCTCATGGTTTTCCACTGGTTTTTTCAGTGGTTAATTGGCCCCACAACTATCATTCTTCATTCATAAGCAGATGTTCACCGAATTCAGAGTACTAGTGACATACTTGATCTTGATTACTACTTGCAACTTTGCAAGGTTCAATGATCCTCTGTTTCTTCAAGATACATGTATATGTGCATGGCAACAGACCATAGTACCATTACGTTAAGCTACTTATTGGGCCCTTACCTATTTATTGGAAGTATCATCCTCAAGGAATAAAGTAGAAGAAAATTGAAAGAAAAGGTCATCAATTACCAAATCCAACAGTTTTTGACATATCACATAGTGGAGTCACAATTACAACCAAGATAATGCACTGTTGATTTGAATGGTTCCAATTGGTGAAACCACAGCAGTTTGTTCCTAATCTGAATCATACCTATCACTAGTTTATATAGTCAAATACAGTGCATTGTACTGCTTCTTTTACAATATTAACAGTCAATCACCTGTTAAAAACAACAAGATCAATAATGATTTGTAGCTTGTATGCATGATAGTCTATCACATTCAACATCTAGTGCTGTTCATCAATATTTAATGGTTATAATCATTGTAAAAACTATAAGTTGTATGTCATTTCATCAATAAACTATCTTCCCAATTGAAGTTTAATGAGCATGGCTCTAATTTGAATCTGACCGGTATTTTCTATGTGAAATCTGCAGTTCGGGTGGTGAATGAAAGTGATTGGGAACAACTTGTAATTGCAAGTGAAACCCCAGTTCTAGTGGAGTTCTGGGCACCATGGTGTGGTCCATGTCGGATGATCCAACCTGTGATTGATGACTTAGCTAAGAAATATGCAGGCAAGATAGTCTGTTACAAGGTCAACACAGACGACTGCCCAAATATTGCAACAACGTATGGAATCCGAAGCATTCCAACTGTGTTAGTCTTCAATAACGGAGAAAAGAAAGAGAGTGTTATTGGTGCAGTGCCGTTCTCTACCTTGAGTGCTGCTGTAGAGAAATATTTGAACTCCTAAAGACAGACAGAGAATCTTAATGACACTGTTGCTTTGTGGCTCAAATGCTGTAATTCATGAATTTTCTTTATGTATAAATGTAACAACACTAAGTTCAGTTCCTCTGTTTATCACTCAAAAGAACTTTGAACAATTCTACTGCCAGAAGTTTCAATTTACTTTCCTCCTTTTTAATCCTACCAAAAGAATTTTGAACTTTGAAAGAATTTCGTTAAAAGGAAATGGAAGAGAGGAACCCAGGAGGCCACTCTTACTTGCTTATAAGATCTGGTAGTAAACAGGGGAGGCATAACCACCAAAATAAATTCCAACTTAGACACTGAACTTCTTTGGCCATGTGATGTGCTGTCCAGTTGGCCTCACAGCAAACATTTGAGAAATAAAACATTATTTAAACTATTGCACTCTGTTCAGAAGTCTGAAATAGGAGCAATCTCCAACTTAAGACATAAAGAGCGCTTCCATGGATGGACCATAACTTCCTTAGAGTCGGTTTTACTTCAGATTAATTCCTTTGCTAAATGAATTCCAAGCTACTGAAGAATCCGACTTTTTGTGGATTCGTGACGTTTCTAGCATCTGCCTGCCACGGAAAAGAATGATAGTAACACCATATTTTTTGATCATGCCACCGCCCAAATGAATGTCCAAGTATTTTCCTATAGAAATTCAAACATCAGACTTTCTTTGTCTGAGAGGATTCAGGCAACAAAAGAGAAGAAACTCAACCTAAAGCAAAGTTGGGCTGTTGATCCAGGATTTTTTTTCTTTTTCTTTGATTGTTGATTCTAAGATTCAAATCCTTGTTCGAGGTCCACATCATTACGAATAAAAAAGGTTTACCAAGATTTTGATGTAACGAAGCTTGTTTCTAGCATTTCATCTCTGTAATCGTTCATATTCAAACAACTCTGTTTAATTGATATGTTCATCGATCATTAAAGTTTCAACAAGAAATTTTCAGACTTTTGGAAATTGGAATGGCATCTAGATTTCAAATCACTTCACAACATTAACCGGGAGGGCATTGCTGTTTTGGGAGGTGGATCAGGTCAGTTTCATAATTTCTTTAGCAATGATATAAACTGTAAAAGATAAATTTGTTAGCATTCAAAATAACTTCTACACATAATAGAAGAATAAATGGATCGCTCTATGCTCAAGAAATGAACTGACCTTGAGCGATTGAAGCAAAGTTGGCCTTCATGGCTTTGTTTCGATGTATGAGAGCTTCAAAATTGGTTCTTTGGCTTCATCTCCTTCTTTTCTTCTCTTCTCTACAAAAAATGGAACTAAGAACACCTCTCTCTCTCTCTCTCTCTCTCTCTCTCTCTCTCATTCTCTTTCTCTCTTCTAAATTGCAAAAACCAAAAATCAAAGTACCTTTTCTCTGGTCATGGTTGCTTTCAACCGATGGATGACTAGTGTGTGTGTGTTATAGAGCCCAAACCACTTAGAGAGGGCCTTCATGGTTAAGGAAATGTAAAACCATAGGCTCAATCTCCATCCATCTCTGCTTTTGCAAACCATTAACACTAGAACAATGCACTCCCTCTTTCAATGGGGCCTTAGGTTGGCTTCTAGAACCAACTTGCCATCTTAGCAACTAGCTCCAGACACTGTTGGGTCCCCTAATGTCTGATTCATCTCAAGTCACCATGAATTTTAAACTGAATGAGTTCTAACAATCTTCCACTTGGCCGAGATGAATCTTTTTGCTTATTTTTATATGGCCATCAACGACCTAGTATAATGAACCTAAGGGTATTCGTTCCGCTCAATTGAAATGACTATCCCCAAATCATCAAGGTTATTTGAGTTCTATTGATTTGAGTAAGGACCATTCAATGGTTATGGAGTTAGCAATTTCAACTAACATGAGCAATCTGCATACACCACTTGGACAACCTATGCATGGGCTACATATCTTTGTCTTATGTTATGTGCACATGTGTAAATTTAGAGAAAAGACAGAGGCATGTTTATCAAAATCAATAATTTTATTGTGATCACATATCATGGTGTTAATAAAAACAATTACACTCAATTCAATTCCAACTTATCAAAATTGTCCATCAACCCTATGCATGCTACATGCTCCGAAAAGAGCTTGGGTGGAAGTCATTTTGTTAATGGATTAGACATGAGTGTAATATTATATGTTTTATTGACACAATCTGATCCTAAACCCTTTCCTTCACAATGAGGTATTTGATATCGATGTGCTTCAACATTATTCTCATCTTCTTATTCTTTGAGAAAAACACAATAGCAACATTATCATTATAAATCCTCATCAGTTTTTAAATTAAGTCCACTACTTGAAGACATGAGACAAAGTTATACAACCATATGGCATGACTAGTTGCTTCATAACATGGTATGAATTTTGCTTCCATAGTAGATGAAGCAGTGCTTGTAGTTTGCTTTGCACTTCTCCATGAAATAGGCCCTCTTACCATCATGGAGATATAACCAAAGGTAGATGCATGAGTGTCCTGACATCCAACAAAAGTGCACTTCATGATAATGACATTTGCAGGGGAGCAATTTCATGGAAACCCAATGGTCCCAAACTTCAGAAGTGTATTGAACTATCCACCATAGAGGCTGAATATATTGCAACTATTGAAGCTTGTAAGGAGATCCTATGGTTGAAGAAGTTCTCACAAGAATTAAGCATGAAGCAAGAAAAATATGTTCTTTACTGTGATGGTCAACGTGCTCTCAATCTCTGCAAAAAGATCCAATCTTTCATTCAAGATCCAAACACATTGATATAAGGTACCATTGGTTTCGGGATGTGTTGGATATAAAATTAAATATTGAAAAAATTTATACTGATGATAATGATGTAGATATGTTAATAAAGTCCTTGCCTAGAGACAAATTTGAATTTTGCAAGAAAGCTATGGGTTTGGTGAAGCCCCCCATATGAGTTGAAGGGGGAGAATTGTTGGGTGTGGGTCCAACCTATATGAGCGGCTCACCCCACCTTTTTCATGCCCCCCAAAAAGGAGGCATATTATGGAAGCCAAAAAGGCTTTTATTTTTTTACTTCTTTCTTCTTACCACAATATGAAAAGTGAAAGAGATAAAAAGGCTGAAGTGAAAAGGGATTCATAGGGAATGAAGAGAATAAAAAAGGATTGTTTTCATCTCTATTCAAAGGCCAAGTTCGGATGTGTTTTGAAGCCTGTTCTTAATGAGATTTTTGGTGTTGTTTAAGGAGACAAGATCCTTACTCCAGTTTGGATTGGTTGTCTTTTTTCCTTTTTCTCCCAGTTATATGTTTATCACAATTTGGTGAGATCTAAATTTTGTTTTTGTTGAAATCCACCTATATTTTGATGATGTTGATGTTATAGTTGTGAGCCAAGGATTATTTCTTTAATGTTTGTAAACATTTAGTTTTCAAGTAGAGAAGACTGGTATCTATTAATTTCAGAAATAGTGGAAGACATTTTTAGAACACTGGTCCATGGTTTTTCCCAAAATTTGGGGTTTTTCACATAAAAATTATGATGGAATATGTTTTGTAGTGTTTGTTATTTATTTTTCTTGTTGCTTGGCTGAATTACTTTTCTATAATTGTTATTTTCAGGAAATCAATTTTATCACACAACTTTGGGAGAAAAAAATTCTTGCTGCCATGGATTGTGTTTTCATTTATTTCTACTACTATAATGTATCTTCCCCAACACTATCCTCGTGTCAAGTTTGATTTCTACCTTCATAATGTTCCCCAATATACTTACCATTCTCAATATTTCATTTGTATCAGAAATTTTGGGTACAACCTCCACACAAGCTTCCTCTATCTTACCAACAATGTAGAAACCCTTCATCAAAGCATTAAAAACTGAGAAACATAGAGAAAATCTCTTGGATATCATCTCATATATATATATATATATATATATATATATTGCCTTGTTGAGCATCCCCAAATCACATAACCCACCAAGAAGAGTCTATTAAGAAAACCAAATTAGGAATGCAACCATTGGATGGCATATCTTGACGAACTTTATTGAAGGGAAGGGAGATCCATCATATGAATGGTCGAACCATGCAGGGTGGCTAGGCGAAATTTCAAAAAAAAAAATTCTCCATTCTGGGAATCATATTCCTAGTTTTAGAAAAATTGCATTTTTCAATGATCGTTTTTGAAACAAACTAGACTAGATCTGAAACCAAAAGAAAGAATGAAGAATACCTGATATAGAATCCACACATGTAGTTCCCAAAGTAGGTGTTCACACCCAAAGAGGGTACCAAAAGCTGCCTCCATTGAACATGGCGCAGCTTGAGATGAAGTAGGATCAGCAATGCAGTCCTTTAGCAAAAACTACAATCTTTCAGCAAGGATCAAGCAAGGGATGGTGAGTATGAATTAAATCTGATTTTTCTTGCAAAAATCAGAATCAAGATCCAATCTTGATCAGTCCAAGAAACTAACGATTGAATAGGGTAGGGCGGCAAGAGCAGAAAGAGAGAGAACTGAGAGCAGTTACTTCAGACTGAAGTGGTTCACCCTCCCCTTTTTATTTAAAGAGTTTATCTCTTAATCTGATTAGGAGTTTCCAAATCCAAATCTTTATTTGGATGTGGACTCTTTAAGTTGATAAGACTTATCCTCTTATCCTTATCTACTGATCCAAACCCATATTAAAACCCAAATTCGCCCATGAAGATTAATCCTATTAATCTTGGGCCCTAGGTCCATTAAGTATGCAGGCTCACTTTCCCTTTTAATTGCTAGCTAACTTGTCTTTCTTTGTATGGTGTGGGACCCTAACATTAATCTTCACAAAAGCCATATGGGTTCAACCTAACCTCTGTAACAAGGCCTGACCGAATTCATTATTTTGGACAATAAACCTTTGAGTTCATCAGTATGGGCTCTTAATGGACCCAACATTTACACTAAATGATCTCCTTAAGTCCAACCACCTTATGAAGGCCCAAGGACTATGGTCTTAAGTGAAATTATCCCATCAGGTATAAAATCCTTAAATGGCCTTACACTTAACCTCTCAACCCATAAGGATCAAACACTGCCCGACAAGAGAAGACCCCTCTCTCGGCTGCAAGGTAAAGTGTTGCACTCTCTACTCGGATGGATCCCGAGAATTAAAACCTTTTGCAAACATTT